AACAAAAAAAAGTTTTTGTGAACAGTTTAAAAATTCTTAAAATGCTGTTGACAAATAAATCAATAAATCACATCTCATAACTTTTAACTTTTATTAGGTTTGTGGAGGTTTTCATCATCTCACATGATCTTCACCTCGTTTATTTTTTAACCATACTCGTGAATGGCTCTTAGGATTTTTGTTCAGTTACTCACCGCTTTGATCCAATCAGAAATATTTTGACAAATATTTGATTGCCATAAAACTTTGCCAAAACCATCTGCAGACGATGACTCCAGGGACTTTTCATCCAGCCAATATCAGGTCGAATGTTTTACTGATTCTGGAAAATTGGGAAAAATCTTGATGAATGGGCAAAAACTGTGATATGGACATATTTGGTTTCCAGATAATAAATCTGAAATCCCTTTTTCTCCAGCACAACTAAGAATTTCTAGTAAAATATCTCACCAGCTTGGCTGCTATTAAATTTAGTGCACACATTCAACAATAAATTGCAATAAACTTCTTGGGCTTTTGATCTCATGCCAGCATTGGGGAAGATTTGACTTTGCTTAATACTTTTAGTTTTTCACTGGTGCGATAATGTCTGAGTGCAGCTGTTCTGTTTAAATGAAATGATTCAGTTCATGATCTGTGGGTGTTTCTTTTCGATAAATGATCATATTTTATATGTTTTAGAAACCAAATAGGTCGTCTCAGAGTTTATATAACATTATTGATTTATGTAAGCAGCATTTCTTGCACTTGTGCCGCCTGAGTTTGGCAGCTGTTTTCAATTTAAACATGATTTTACTTGGACACATGTATTAAGGCTCGTGACTGGCAGAAAGAACACACAGATATTTATGGTAAGTTGATGGTTTCCCAGATTTACACTGCTTCTACAACCTGAGAAGCAGCAGGGTATTTTTTTTAATCCATATTCACAAGACAGTTATCAACCTTTTTAGTCACATAGAGTTCTCTCTATGATTTTTTTGTTTGTTTGTTTTGCTTCATAATAAAAGTCTCATGTTTATGGTTGTGCCACCATGACATTTGAGGACATACAGTGATGGTCAACATTAAATTATCTCAATATCTTTAGAATTAATATTAGTTATAATATGGGACTATTTTAACAATAAAAAAATCTGAGAAGCAAAGTTAATTTGTGATCTTATATTTATGGTTTTTAGATAGCAAAATATAAAACAATATACATTATTTGCACTGAAAATATTTTACACGTTTTAGAACCTATATAATTATGCGTTCAGACACAAAAATATCATATTATTGATCCATATATACTGTGTACATGTGTACAGGTTTATTGAGTTAATTCCTCCTATATCACATGCTGGTATGTTAAATTGCACAATCAGTTATCACGGAGGTTGTGATTGTGTCATCTATTTTGAAATGTCCAGTTATTTTCAAACACTGCTGAGTTTGCACCAATGTGAGGTTTTAGGTCTTTTTATGCCTGGAAGTTATACTTCTACCACCTCCACTGTTACACAGTGAAATTCTTTTAGCATCATGTTGCTTCTTTTGGTATTAGGCTGACATTCAGCACAAAGTGTTGCGCAGCCTTTGTAAAACCTCACAGAGCTGCTAGCACTAAGCTCTAAACTGAGTTACTTTAAGTGCTCGGACAGAAAAGCATCATTTTCCTTTTCATGACAAACAAGAAAAACTCCAGAACAGCCAGCGATTGGAGCTTTGGGTGATATCAGGGCCCTCTCTCTGTCTTCCACATGTGGAGATCTCCACAATACGCTGAAGGTGTGAATAAACATTTCTACTTGTTCGTTATTGCACGAAGCTGTGAAGTTTGGCCAGTGGTCTGCACATCTGGAGGAGCGTCTCTTTGAGGCGATAAGGACCCGCCCGTGAACCCAGATCTGATTTTCCAGAGTCTTCCTAGAGCAATCTCAACTGTATTTCCATTTTCATCTTTTAAATGATTCAGAGTAAATGTGAAACATTTGGACGTTTTAAATGCAATGCAATCTGTCAGACAGCTGTGGTACGTCAGCTTGGTGTCTGTTCTTCTGCACCCTGCCCCTCCAGGCAGAATGCCCTTAACCTGCAAAGGTCCTTCCCTTCTCAGCAAATCTGTTCAGCCAAGAAATAAACAGAGCCTCACTCGTAAATCATCCTGTTTAGTTCAGCTCAGGCTGCTTTGTACCTGCAGTGTTCTCTCTCAAACATATACAAGATGTGATAGATGGTACCTGCCACTGTTAGAACAAGGCATTACATCTCTGGGCTATACTTTATGGACTTTAAGCAATAATGTGACACAATAGGCAAATAAATAAATTAGATCTTTGACTCTAATGCGTCAGTGAAAAGAAGCAGAAGTTTGAACCTGGCTTCATCCAACATTCTGACAAAGCAGACATCGGTGACTTCTGCTAGTAAAATTTCAGCCCTGTTTATCTTCCTCTTAAGCTTTTAATTAATCAAAGTCAGAGAGAAAATGATCATAGTTTAAACCATCAGTTACCACCTGCCTTCTAGCCTCTTTCACCAAAACGCATAAGAGAGATCAAATGAATTGCAAAGATGGAAGCAAGTAGTTATTCTACCTCTAGGGATTCATGTTTTATGACTTTATTCGTCCCTTATTTCTTCCAAATTCTGACCTAACTATCCAAATGTTGCAGGGGTAACCCAGACTCTTCAGATCAGCCAAAGTTTTTCTAATGCTCAGTTGAAAAATTTTGCTGAGTCTGTGTAAATTGTAGCCTCAGTTTCCTGTTCTTAGCTGACATTAGCAGCCAGTCTGGTCTTCTGCTGCTACAACGCATCTGCTTCAAGGTTCAGTGTGCTATAAGTTCAGAGATACTGTTTCGCTTTGCTTGGTTGCAACAAGTGGTTATTTGAGTTACTGTTGGCTTTGTATCAGCTTGAGGCACTCTGGCCATTCATCTCTGTGTGCTTTTAGGGTCATTGTCCTGTTGGAAGATGACCCTTCACCCCAGTCCAAAGTCCACAGTGCTCTGGAGCAGGTTATCATCAAGGATGTCTCTGTATATTGCTGCATTCATCTTTCCCTCAACCCTTACTAGTCTCCCAGTTCTTGCTGCTGAAAAACATCCCAACAGCATAACGCTGCCACCACCGTGCTTCACTGTAGGGGAGGAATTAGCCAGGTGATGAGCAGTGCCTGGTTTACTCTAGAAATGATGCTTCACATTCGAAAGACTTCAATCTTTAGTTCATCAAACCAGAGAGTTTTGTTTCTCATGGTCTGAGAGTCCTTCAGGTGCCTTTTGGTAACCTCCAGCTGGGATGTGATGTGCCTTTTACTGCTTCTGTCTGGCCACTCTACCAGGCAGCCCTGATTGGTGGAGTGCTGCAGAAATATTGGTGACTGGAGCTCTGTCAGTGTGACCATTGGTTCCTCGGTCACCTCCATGTCTGACACACTTTAACTTTAATCACTCATACTGGAAGAGTCCTGGTGGTTCCAAATTTCTTCTATTTACAGACTGATGGAGGCCACTATGCACCGAGACTCTGGGAGACTCTTCTCTATACACTTCCGCAGATCTGCACCTTGATACAATCCTGTCTCAGAGGTCTACAGAAAATCCTTTGAACTTCATGGCTTGGTTTGTGCTCTCACATGCACTTTATGTAGACTTTTCAAATCATGTCCAATTAACTCAATTTACTATGGGTGGACTCCAGGCAAGTTGAAGAAACATCTGACAGATATCAGTGGAAACAGGATGCACCTGAGCTCAATTTTGAGTGTTGTGGCAAAGGCCATGAATTCTTAGGTAAATTATTGGTTTTAATAAATTTGCATTATTTCAATCTAACCTTTTTCACTTTGTCATTATTTATTAGTATTTTGTGTAGAATTTTGAAGTGAACAATGCATTGAGATGCTGCCGTTTGATTGGCTGATTAGATCTTTTCATTAAGGACTGTGAGTGCTGAATGAAATCAGATAGATTTGCTTGTGCTCCTGGTACTATGCAGAACATTGGTTAAAATAAGAAGGAAAGTAAGGCCATAGTAGCAAATGATGTGAATGTTTCAAGGTTTAAAAATATAACATAAAAAATGCTTCAAGTGTTATGCCAGACTCAGTGTAAACACTGAATTATTTGAATTTGTTCTCTTTTTAAATATACTTATCCAGTAAATGAAGCTTCTGGTCTGTATTTAGTGAAGTGGTGTAACAGCAGACCAGACCAAAAGGCAAACACGGTAATTATTATGTTTAACCATCTGTGTTAGAACTACGTCACATTTAGAGACTAATTTTTGGCTTAAACTTTTTGTTACTGTCCCGATTTGTTTTCGTTCTACTTTGATGGGGAATGCTTTGTCCTCTGGGCTTTTTTTAAACTGCCAATTACCTGGAAACGGAAACACTGACTAAGACTTCATTTGTGTTCAGACATGTGCAAAATAGATCAGGTTATACTCATAAGAATAATGGCCAAACTTAAAATTCACAAAGGGAGCCTACATACCTACTCCTTCTTCTAATAACGTGAAGTCATTTCTCCCCTTGATTACCTTCTTTGTCAGCGTTATGCAATGAAGCCATATGCTTCCAATCCACAGGAGAGAGCGAATAAGTGCAGGAATTTACCAGAAACTGTTATCTTTCAAGGCAGATAAACACATCAGGGAATAGCTCACCCCCACCGGAGTGTTTGTTTAAAGGTGCCTCTCGAGATACTGGATAGACAAATGATTGTTAGGGAGGGATTCGATAGTGAACAAGTACACAAAAGCCATCCGGAGCTGTCATAAGAACATGCAATTAAAGCAGCAACGATGATTCGTTTCTAGATGGTTTTATCATGAAGCAAGAAGCAGTGAGGACCTTAGAGGCTGCATTTCTGCACTTTGTTTGTGTACGCTGGTCCTTAGGAGGACGGTGGGTGGGGGGGTGGGGTGGGCACGTGATTGGTGCATCCTGCAGTCTCTGCTTCCATCTCTGTGGTACAGCAATGACAGTAACCGTAGTGTGATGTCGTTGCCCGGGACTATATTTCCACTCTCCGTCTGTAATGTTCCTCAGTGGTCTCGGAGTGATGATGTCAGCGTCCACAGAGTTTCCACCACAGCACAGAGCCTGCAGAGGGGAAGTGAGTGGGTGTGTGTGGGTTTTGTATGTGCAGTCGGACCAGCTGCGTTTGCACAGAGAAGAGGGTCTGCCGAACAGAACCACAAAACAGAGGTGCTGTTTTTCATTGGTCTAGCCTTCAGGGACTCACCGTCTGGGCTGGTGTTATTTAAGTCAACAATGAACTTGTGACATATTCCCGCATATTCCTGCACACACACACGCACACACACGCACACAAGTTTCTCTTTTAAGATATCAGTGAAAGTACAGCCAAATAAAGAAAAGTCCTTCTGAGTTAGATGCATGAAATATTGTAGTTTTTATTATATACCTGGAATTCCTAACAGCTTATGGTCGTTTCGGGGAAGTCTGGAGATACTGGTGGGAAGTTTTCTGTTACACAGATCAAGTGGATCTAAAATGTCAGTGCATGGATTTATTAAGCCTAATATTTCTGCCAGATAATGATGCTGTGGCATGTGATATGCTGGGTAATACATTTGTATGCTTCCTGAATATTTTGATAGAGTCGTTTGGATGAAGAGGATTAAAAAAACAGTAGTTAGAAAATATTAACACCTCTTGTCTCTTTCAGAAACAACCTCTTGAGTTTTCCCAGAAGTACAGCTGAGATTCAAAATTTAAACTCCACATAACCTACATCACTCTCTCCCAGTTGCATTCAGGGTCAGATTTAATCATGCTCCTGTCGAGAAAACCAGTTCTCCCACCACTGCTTTAGTTTATGAACAGCTAATGATGAGACCGTGAATGCTACTCACTAAACCACACCCTGCTTTATCTTCTAGTTTTCTGTTTGTCCACTAAAATAGCTTTGAAAAATGGACTTCTAGCCTGAAACTAGCTATTAAAACTATAAACTCCTTTCTGAGATGACCAGGCACATGTTTACTGCTGCTCTGGCTTCATTTTTCAGACCCAAAGGTTATGTCCATCTTTTACAGTCATGGCAAAAAGAAACAATAATCTCTGCCAGTTTTGAGGTTGTATGTGTGAGGACACAATAAAGCCACAACACATGACATATGACCATGTACACCGTATTATTTATTTCACAAAAACTAAACCAAAACACAGAAGCAGTGTGTGAAAAACTAAGTACATCCTAAAGTTGAGTAGTACCTGGTTCTTCTTTTCTTTTTTTGGAACTTACTTTTATTCATCCATCAAACATCAACATCTTAATGTTTGGGATCGTTGCCATGTTGCATGACTCAGTTTCAGCCAAGTTTAGCTGTCAGACAGACGTCCTCACATTTGAGTCAAGTATATTTTGGTATACAGAGGAATTCATGATCAACAGAATGACTGACAGGTGTCCAGGTCCCATGGCTGCGAAACAAACAGTGCTAGGTGTGAGCTGACATGACATTTGTTGTTGGTGGTGTTTTTTTGCTGCTGTGGATTGTAGATGAACATCTCCCCTTTGGTCTCATATGCCATTTTTTCAGATGTCCTTTGGTTTTTTCAGATTCAGCTCTGCAAACCTAAACCTAAAAGGAACACGGTGCTATAATGTTCATTTTTCTCCAGGCAACCTTAGCAAGCTATAATTGTCTGTTTTCTCTAACTGTACAATCATGAATTTCAACATTGACCTTGGGATGAATTTGGCGGGATCTTGAATTATTCATGGTGCTTTTAAGATCATTGCAACACCTGACCTGTGAATTAATTGCATTTGACTATATATATATATATATATATATATATGCATGCAGCAAAGATGTAGTTTTCCATTTGCAACTTCAGCAGTGTTTAGGTCAAATGTAGTTCAGCCTGAATAACTGTGTCGATATAAACACAAGGACAAAAGTTTCTTTTACATGTTGGAGCATGTGCTGATCACTTATATATGACTTATTACCTGGATCCATGCTTCACACCAGTCTAATGTGTGAGAAAGTCAAGATGTTCCAACTTTTCACCTTGAAATAAATAACATGACTCATGGTCAGATGATGTTAACATCTGCTGCTTGTCTTCAGGAGGTACAAGAGCTGTAATTATAGGAAGTAAGAAAGGGAGAGAGACATCAAACCGGTGCAAACAAACGAATGCATGCGCATACACGGTGAGATGATGTCACGCTTTTTCCGAGCTCCTATCTTCATCTGTTTAATAGCCTTCAAAGCTGTGCAGTGGGACAGACTGTGAGTTTGTATTGTGTCTGAAAAATAATTGCAAAGTAAGGGAGGGTGGATGTGAGGCAGGGTTCAGATGTTGTTAGGAAGGCCTCTATTCGTTTGTTCGTTTGATTCATTGTGTTGTTGCTTGTTATAGTTTCATTATGAAAGAATTTCCTTTCCAAGAGAGTGAGGCTTTTTAAAGGGCTTGTAACTCCACTCTGCTGTGGTGAAGTGTAGTGCTGTGTCAAACAGGGAAAGCTTTAGGAAACTCTTTTCATTTCATTCTTAATGTTTTCTCCATGCAAAAAATTATTCTGCTGGGAAATAATGTAATCAGGACCGTCAATGTGCCCGTCCACAGACTGTGAGTCATTCTCCCGCAGCTTGGCTATGATTTTGCCATGCTGCATTGCCATACACGTGAGTCATAGCAAACCTGCTGCAGCTTATCGTTACCCAAATGAAAGTTTATTATTAGAGTAATAAACCACAGAGTGGTTTATTTGTCTATTTAGGACATCAGAAAATGTGCTCCGGTAAACCAACTAATAGTCACATTCAAGTACAAAACATTCTGTGAGCTCAGTGTGTTGTGGTTAAAGAGTTTGGGTCTCTGTGCCACAGACAGTAAAACATTCTGGCATTTCCTTCAGACAACAGCACTACGGCAAATGGTCAGAGGAGCGGTGCAGTCAGTGAAGCCAAATGGAGAGGAATACTCAGACTGAGACCAAAAAAGGTAAGTGAAGAAGGGAAGAGGAGAGTGGGGGATGGTGAAATTGGCAAAACAACAACAACAAAAAAAACAAAAAAAAACAAGGAGGGATAAAACACGAAAAGGTGGAATGATATCTCGCCCACATTAAATTATTCCCTGATGATGCTGCTGCTACTGCGTCATCACTTTCTGTTTGCTTTAGCGCTATTTGAACCATTGATGGTCTGAAGGACCATTTAGGTCGAACACTTTTCCTGGCATGTGTCTGCGTGGGTTCCTCCTTCCTTCCTCACACAGTCCAAAGACATGCATGTTAGGTTAACTGGTGACTCCAAATTTTGAATGTGAGCATGAATGATTTTCTGTCTCTCTGTGTTAGCTCTGTGGCAGACTGGCAGCCTGTCCAGGTTGCACCTTACGACAGCAGGGATAGGCTTCAGCTCCCCCACAACCCATAATAGGATAAGATGAAGAAAATGGATAGATGGATTTAAATGTCAGAAAGGGGCAACTTATGTGGCTGAAAAAAAGAAGCTTGTGAGATTGTTTACATCACTTTGACTATCATTTTCTTTCCCCCCTTGTTTCAGCCAATCAGCCTCCACTCTGTATACTTTAAATCTCTCTGCTCTTCTGTCATTTTCCCTTTCAGGCTCTCATTTGTTGAACCCACCTCCTCTCCGCTTCACCCTGGTCACTCAGAGCGCCATCCAGGTCTCTTTCTTCATCTTCACCACCACTAGCGCCTATACTTTGAGGGTGTTGTCCTAATTCCTGTCACCGCTGGGATTCTGTTCTGATGTGATGGATCATCAGTTTAATTTTTTAAACTGATGAATTTTTTATGTCAATAAATCATGCCCAGTTCTTCCGAAGCGAATCCAGTAAATCCAGTTTTCTTTGATTTAATACTTCCAAATATAAACTCAGAATCAACTTTCGGATCACTAAATCACTACAATTATCATTGCTGTTTCCCCGGGAATGTAGTTGCCACACAAATGTACGAAATGGATGAAATGGTGGTCTTAAGCCCGCTCAGCAAATATTGTTAATACTGTTGTTAGTACCAACATCTTCAAACAAACTTGCCCTCTTCTTAAAATATGGACCGATAATTTCTTAAAAGTATTCACAAAAGCACATTTCCAAAAATTACATGCATAATTATAAGTAACAGTAAGTTGAAATCGCAATACAAATAATTTGAAACTGCAAAGAAATCCCTGACTCAAAAACAAGTTTATAATAAACTTACATGCAGCATGACTGCCCCACAAAGCAAACGTGAAACGTACAGCAGACCAAGATGCACTTGGTGAAATCTTAAGTATCTACCAGCTTTCATAATGTTGCTTTTTTGTGATGAAAGCTTATAACATCAGGTGAATCGCTGGCAGGACATTTAATCCTAACAAATCAACAATATCATAACAAATCAATCAATAAATAAATAACACATTTCCTTCCACCTCCAACATCCCATTAAGCTATTATGGAAAGAAATTATGTGTTCATCACCTGATACCTTATCATTGTCTTGATAGTGATAAGGTATAGTCCTCTTAGAACCTTATTGTTGCATTCATGATAAATCACACATTAAGAACATGAGATTTCAGAGTGTTCTTTGAACTATTTGACGTAACGAAATTACAAGAATAAAAGCCTGGGAGATTGCTTTACGTCATATTCCTTTTGAATGTGTAAGTTAGACAAAACATGGGACAAATTACTTTCTGCTCTATAAATGGGACTTGAACCACTTCAGGGAAATGTGAACAATCTTGCCGTCTGCTTTAGTAGTTCTTTGTGGAAAGTTTTCCCCTCAAATGATTCCAGTTTCTACTCTAATTACTGAAAGCAATTCAGACTAAAAAAAGGTAACAGGGGTAATTTGTAGTTGGTGTTTAACACTGTTCCTTGTGTTGATAAACAATTAAATATTAAATACATAATTCCTTTAAGAATCCAATTAAAAAGCAGAAGGGTGGAGGCTGGGATGGTGGATAAGCCTCTATCTTCGAAGGCACCTTCTAATTTCCCTTAATCACAAACTTTCTCTGTGCATAATGCACTAACATTAACCAAGCTCACCTAAACCATAGCTCACAGCCATAATTCTTCTAGTTTAACACTACCCTAGATGCCAAATCCAAATACTGTAGAAGAAAGACGTTCAAAAGTGGTGGAAATAAATGCAATAGAAATGTAGAACTGACCAAATCTGAGTTTGCTTACTCCTTTAATATTGACTTTCTGGTTTAGAAATAGGATTGTGATTCTCTTTGCATGAGAGGTCACAGTTTACAGTCCTAACATCCTCATGACCCTACCAAAGCTGAAGAAATGCCATTATATCCCCACTGTTAGCCACTGGTAAAATCACTGTGTGGGTGTGAACTGTGATCCAAGCTTCACTCACCAACTACAGCAGACTGCTCATCCACACCCTTTCTGCTCTCACCTCTCTTTAACATCTCTGAATCAAGCAGCCCACGCTGGCACTGCAGATATGGAAGCCAGTGAATTATTTCAAGTAGTGGTGTCAAAACAGAATGCAAACACTGTGTGTCTGCATTGCAATGTGAGACATGGCTGTAGCTCAGGAGGTAGAGCAGGTCAGCTGCTGATCAGAAGGGTTGGTGGTTCGATCCCTGGCTGCCCCAGACTGTGTGCCAAATATCCTTGGGATACTAACTCTCTGATGCATTCATTGGAGTGTGAATACTACATAGAAAGCACTTGAAGCATAGAAGAAAGTGCTTGGGTGGATCAGGGAGGTTGTATAACATCCTCTGGGAGAGTAGTAAAGAGTCAGAAAAGTAAGATTACTTCAAACTAGTCCAGTTTTTGATCCTTGGGTGCAGAAATGTGAATTTATTTAGAATTTTCTCTAATCTAGGGTAAGGAGTAGACATAGAGGCTCAAATATATATGCACTAGTTTCAGTCTTTTAACAAGTGCTGCTGAAGGTTCTACAGTATCTTTTAACTTGACAAGGCCAAGGATACCTGGTAGTTTTTATTTGCCAAAAGTACAAGTTATTCTGATGTGTCACCACTTGGCCAAGGTCTGGAAAAAGACACAAACTTTGATTGACACATTTGAAATTGACTGAAATTTGCAGTTGCCCACAATAACAAGGGGTTTGTCTGGAAGAGTAAAGGCGAGGCTTTTCAATCTTAAAATCACCATACATGGTCAAAGATGGCGGTGGAAGCCTCATGCTCTGGGACTGTCTTGCTGCCAGTAGTACTGGTCCTTGCACAAACTGGATGGTATAATGAAGAAGGCATACCTTGAAAAATTTTTCAACTTTCCTGCGTGCTGCACAACAACATTGAATATTTAGTATTTACTGCTGTTTACACTTAGCTAGATTAATGCGATGGTGTTGTGTTTAGTATGCTGCTTTGGTTTTTTTTGCTTGTTTTCTAGTCTTTCTCTCTCAACAGGTGATCCAGGAGATTTTATTTTTATTTTTTTCCACTTTCTCAATGTCCCTCTCCCCTTCTGTTTTTCTTTTCCTTCCTCTTTCTTTCTCCCTTTCCTATCCCTCACTCATGTCTGTCCCGTCTGTAACAACTGAAAATAAAATAAAATAAATAATAAAAACAAAGGTCGATCAAATGGACCAATACGGCAATGCCACGATGATCCATTTGGCAAAATAAATCCATTGGGTATCCTTGTTGGTCTTCAGACAACAATTCTGACGGCTAAAGAACCAAATGGGACAGGCAGAAAAAAAAAAGAAACAAAAGAAAATTTTTCAACTTCATGCCAAATCAGCATGAGACGGTTAAAACTTGGACACAGTTGGGTTTTTCTAACAGGACAATGATCCCAAGCACACATAAAAACTCGTGCCTTTTGAAATGGAAAAGGCAGGCTAACATTAGGCCTTTGGAATTATGTTCTTGACCTCAGACCTATTGAAAATTTGTAGACTATGTTGCAAAGCCAACCAACTAACTTGAATGAACTCTACCATTTCTGAATTTATAAATTTTGCCAGAAGCTTGTTGATGGCTACCAAAGTGTTTGATTGAGTTGCAACTTCCTAAAGGGCATTTAACCAAATATTATTATATTTGAGCCTGTATGTATAGTTTTGATCCTGTGTGGATCCCCCCTAAATTAACTTGTTCACTCGATTCTTATTTTTTAAGGTCATGAAAGTAAATGTACAATCACTCCACTTGGAAAAAAGAACAGTTCGAAGAATTTATCAAAAGCCCAAAATTACCATGACATTCATGCCCATGGCAAGTGTATGTAAACTTTTAACCCGACTTGTAAGCCAAGTTTTTGGAGCAGTGGGCAGTCATGGGGAACAGCTCCAGCACTGAGCATATGCCTTGGTCAGGGGCACTTAACAGGCCAATTTACCTGTCATGGTTTTGATGGATACCAGAACAGACAAGGTGAGAGCATGCAAACGCCAAACAGACATACCTTCCACTGGTTGTACTTGTTTCTGTGAGCTGATAATGTTATGAGCCACAGTGCTGCATGTTATATCATGATGTATGTCGTACATTTTCCTACGTAGGCTGACTTCACCTGGGATAAAGCAGGTAGTCCTGCTTCGCCATACGGCCCCAGGTGAGCTGGCATGTCCCCGCTGTCTAGACAGGAGAGTGACTAATGGTGATGCTTAAGAAAAGGAACACAGTTAATGACATTTCCCCTAACAGGATTGGAAAGTGTGTTTGCATCATCATGGTACAGCTGAAAAAAAATCCTTGATGTTGGGTATTTATTGCACACAAAGTTGAGGGAATAGTCATCTTTATGCATTAAAATGAACATAGGCAGAGAGCCTATTATTAATTTAGGATTTACCTAATATTTCTTGATTTTATTCTTATTCATTTTTTAATCTTCTTACTCTATTTATATTTATATTTATATTGTATCCTGTTCTTATTTATTTTATCATTTTACCCTGTATACATCGTATTGCGTCATATCTCCAGTGTTTCCTCGGAGGGCACTCTCTGCACCGGGGCTGTTATTGACCGTGGCTGCTGGGTCTCTGGGGGTCTCTCAGCCTGTTTGGGGGGCTCCTTTGCCTCCCTCCGGCTGTGTGCCCAGCCCGGAGGCTGCGGTCTGTGACCGGCTCCCGGTGCAGACGGCTCTCTGTTATAATGTTTCCTCACTTGGCTCATGCGAGCCCAGCCCAATTTTTACTCTTTAAGTGTGCGCGTGTGTGTATGTGTGTGTGGGTGGGGGTGGGGGGATATATGTGTATTGAGAGTGTGGGGAGTGAGTTGGAGGGTGGGGTGGGCTGCTTTTAACTATGTAAAGCACTTTGTGCTACATTTTTTCTGTATGAAAAGTGCTTTATAAATAAAGATTGATTGATTGATTGAGCAGACAATGAGAAAACACACAGAGGAAAGAGATCTGATAAGATTGAAATACTTTGTTTTTAACTTATGAAGGTACTGCAAACCTTCCTTTGGCTTCCCTGTGGGGCTCACACTGGGAAAAGGCTTTACGTGGTGGATGTGGAAAGCTTCAGGATGCAGACAGGAAACCTGGATCACTCTAAGGTGCTGAATGTTATGTATGCACCACTGGCCTACTCCGATTTAGAAAATAAAACCCTATGACTAGTAAAACACATTGTGAAACAGAAAATAGTGGAAATCTAAAGGTTTTAAAAGTAAAACAATCAGCATTTGAGCAAAATGAGCTTTTATTGCAGAATGGAATAACTATATTTACTCATTAGCAACAATGCCATCCTTGTGTTTGCCTGTGTGTGTTTGTGTGTGTGTTTTTTTTCTGTCTCAGCAGCACATCTGAATCTTTCTTGGTCTGTTCAGACACTTTTCCAGGAGGTCAGTAAAAGTCTTGACCACTCAAAGCACTTCTTTGTCTGCTTCCTCCAGCATCTTCTGAGGACCTCCTTCTCCATGAGAGATGACGAAGCAAGCAAGCTGCGGCAAGCGGTGCGCACACAAACGCACATTGCAGACACACACCAAACAGTGTGAGTAACTGGTCAGGCTTGAGTGACTCTCTACCTCGCTGCCTTTAGGGCTTCCTGCAAGTCTTTTGGAAATGTGCCCTGTCCATGTGAAGATCATCACCTTTTCAGTGGCGGCAGAATCACGAGTTCATTAATGTGATGAACAAATTAATCACTATTAGCTGGTGTGACAACAGGAAAAGGGACAGACACTTTCGCATGGGTCACAAATTCTGTGCATGTCTGTGAAGCTCATTCTTGCAACCCTAACAAAGTGGCTATTTTTTCACTCCAGTGGGTAAACAAGATGCAGACTTTTCCCATCAGCCTTATTAAAATAACGGGCACAGTCTGGGCAAATTAACTCCAAAGGAAGTCAGCTTCTCCTTTCTACGTGGAGTGATTCACATTGGCCTGGCTGTGGATGGCGTGCGTGAGGACACAGGTTAAAGAAGACCACAGGTCCTCTTGATCAGGCCCAGTTTGTCTCTTACTCTCTCACACAAAGACACCAACTCACTGCCGAAATGGAAACAGACATTTGCTGCCCTGTTAACGGTGTCCTTATTTACATCTGATGTCATAGTGTAAAAAACACAGACAAGGTTTCCATGCTCGAAAGAGAGGTATCAGGAAAGACTGCTGCCCTGCAAATGGCGGTACAGATAGGATTAAGTTGGAATTGTTGTATAAACGGTGTCTGGCCTGAGGAAACACAGCTGTCTGGAGAAGGGGAGGTGATAGTTAATATTTTAGTGAGAGTAGCAAAACGCTGCTCTTAGATTGAAACAGACCCTAAACATTCATCACCAAATACAAACTGCTTACATTTAAATGGCATCTGTTATGCAGGTTCCAGTATTTTAAAATTCATTAATCCATCGAATTTTTCCTGACTATCAAAGCCCAAATTGGGTTGACAGATTGGGTCCACTTCTTAGACCTTCTTTGTCAAAGCTGTCAAGAGCTTCCCTCACTTTTAGCGCCTTTGAGCACAATAGTCTGATTCTTTTTTGCCCCCTTTAAGCAGAGTGTTATTAGCATTATAGGTTGTTATTGGTTGATATTTGTCATTTATGCTAGCGTGCTTGCTAACTTAGTGACAAAAATGAATGAATGATAAATGCACCTTGCTAAGTTAGCAAATACTTTAGCATTAATGTTAGCATACTTGCTAACTAACTACCAACAAAGCTAAGTGGCCAAGTTCCTTGTTTTCCACCAGCTTAGGTGAAACACAGTAAACAGCTATCAGTTATAGCTACCTATACATGTTTTTATAATTTAATTTTTTTTGGTGTAAAGCTGAAAATCTTCACATAAGAGTCTATGGGGGTGACTCACTTTAGGAGTGAGTCTCCAGTAACCACTTGAGAAACTAGATTGTGGCATGTCTTGATGCAAGCCCTAACAGCCAGGTAAAGAAATCCCCCAAAAGTCAACTTTTTCGGACAGATTCTGGCATGTTGGCATTTTTCAGCCTTGAAGTTGAAAAAGTAAGAATGAGAAAACATTAGAAAAAAAAGCCATTGTAGCATCCAGAAGGCTGAGTTTAAGTTGTCATTTGCTTATAAACTCAGTTGCTTTTTGTGATGTGTCCAACATTTTGCCTGGTCTCTTTGCTCCTCTGGACTCCTGACCATGAAGTTAGCTCATTTCACGGGCGTGTGACTTTCTTGTGTGACTCAACATATAATTCAGGCAATGAAGTGAAGTTATTAGTACCCCTCACATGTCAAATCCAACCCTCACTGTCACTCTTTAAATGACCCAACCCAATCTGGTTTCCACAGTAACTTTGCTTTGTAGCAGTGTGTTGTGGAATCTTTGGTAAGTGCTTCGTCACAGTTTGCATTCACAACCACCATCCCTCCTCACCGACCTCTAACATTTGTTCCCAGCAGTGCAGCAGCTCTTCGCATCCTGTGCAGAAAATTCTGACTGATTCAGACGTGAGCAATGACGAGGATCATTGAGAATGCTGACAACCTTAAATTATGTTGCTCAACTGTCTTCATCCACTGACTGTCTGCAGCATGAACTTCTGCATAACAAGTTTGTTTTCTATGTTTCTTATATTCCTCTAGAAGAGCGGCGCCTTCTTCATGTTCAGATTTTCATTGCATTTCTATTCCAGGCAGAGAGCTGAAGGCAAACAGTGGAAGAACAGCCATAAGTGGGTGTGACAGTCAGTCAGTCAGTCATGGTTGTTGCTCATCTCCTCCTTTACTCTTCCAGTCTATAAGCCAGACATATTACCCTCCAGCTTTCTCTTTCCAAACACTTTCCATTTTCGTTTCTTTCTCTATCATTTCACACACACCCCTATGTATTTCATCTCTCCAGTTTTTCCATCCAGCTGTGGCCGTTTGGCTCTCTTTCTCCAAACTGGCTGTACACAGTTTTGTGAAGCCAGGATGGAGAACCCCGCATTACAAACAAGTACTAGAAGGCTGTACATGTGTTACCGATTGGCACACCTTAAAACAAATTTGCCTTCCAGATTTGGAGGAGGAAACTCCACACAAAACACTTAATTTCACATTTTATACCTTTTAGTTTGAGTAGTTCACCAGAAAATAATTAGATGAGGAAATTAATAATGAAATTAACACCAGCTTTGTCTACTTAACCTAAAGCTACAGAGCAATTAACTGATAAGCTTAGCAACAAATAGTTCACAAGCTGTTGTTTCTACCCTTTGGATTTTGTATATATTTGTCAGAAACCTTCAGGACAGATTTGACCAACTCTGCACTGTGGACCTTTAACAATCACTGCCCCCTTCAATTAATGCAGTAACTCAATGCATTTAGACATGCAGACATGGTCACGACAACCTGGTGAAATTCAAACTGAGCATTAGAATAGGGGAAAAAGGTGGTTCAAGTGACTTTGAAATAGATTTTTGCGCCAGATGGACTGCTCTGAGTATTTCAGAAACTGGTGATTTGTTGGGACTGTTGTGCAACTATCTCTAGGGTTTAGAGAGAATGGTCTGAAAAAGAGAAAATATCCACCAAGTGGCATTTCTCTGGGTGAAAATGGTTTGTTGATGCCAGAGATCAGGGGAAAATGGCCAGACTGCTTAAAGCTAAAAGGAAGGCAACAGTAACTCAAAAATAGCGACTCCTTTAAACTAATGCAGAAGAGCATCTTAGAATGCGTGGCGCATTGAACCTTGAAGCAAATGGGCTTTAGCAGCAGAAGACCACACCAGGTGATACTTATGTCAGCTAAGATCAGGAAAGCGAGTCCACAATGGCATAAACGACATGAAATACAGATTTATCCTGCTCTGTATCAACAGTTCAGGCTGGTGGTTTGATGGTGTGGGAGATATCTTCTTGGTGCACTTTTGGCCCATTAGTACCAGCTGAGCATTGTTTAAACACCACAGCCTACCTGAGTATTGTTGCTGACCATGTCTTTCCCTTTTCAACTACAATGTAACCATCTTCTAAGACCAACGAACATTAACGAATGGTGTTGAACATATTTTAACGAATGCTGGCTTAACTTGAGTAAAGCTAAAAAGTATTCCAGTAATTCCAATATTGATCAACTTTCGGTAAAAGTGGCTATAAGGATGAAACATATCACTCCAACAATGACTTGGGGCAGATAGTGAACAATTTTCTACCATGAAAGAGAAACAAATTCCCAGGTCTTCTCACAAAGTCTTGGGAATAAAAATACAAGTGAAAAAACTGCAAACACTGTTTAGGAAAGCTCAACATTTTATATTTTACAATATTGTGCAGTGAATACATCAAGGCGTACATAGTTGTTTAGGTGATCTAAATCTGTGGGCTTTTTTGATAACTACAGGTTTGTTAGGATATAATGCAATGAAGATGTTCCACATCCCTCCGTCTTGCTTTCAACTGTATTCCTTTGTGTAAGAAAGTGTTGTTTTGATATCAGTGGAAAAAGATGACAGACACTAAATTAAACCAATCATACTTTAGAAAACAGTTGCAGCAGTTCCAGCTTTCAGAGATTATGAGGTATCCAACTGAGCTTTCAAATACAAATCATTCTGGGAACAAAGAAATCGTTATGAAAACAACCAGTGTGAGGGATAAATCTTTGCTGCAAAATAGATCTTATGTATGGAAAACAGAGACAGTGAGCAAAGAAGAGATGATATAAGCCAGGCAGCCTTCCAGGGGCTTTGACAGAGACAGCTCATAAATCTGACAGAGATATAACAACCCAAGAAATTAAGTCATACCCAAAATGCACCACTCTATGGAGTAAATGTTTCTCTCTTTCAAATATTTATGCGTTCTTTTACACCAGGATCACCCTCCCGAAAATGCATGAGTGCACATTCAGGAAACCTGTTGCACAGCAGTGAATATGGAAGTTGATGTTAAGTAACACTTTAAGGCTCGCCGCTTGAAACTCTCTGGTGTTTCAAGTCTCCACGCTTTGGCGCTGTTGCACACGTGGAAAGAATTCAGAGGCTTTTTTCAAACAGGGGAGATTGGTGACTCAGTTGCACTCACTGTGCTTTTGGCTTTTGCTGTTTTTCTTCCTCTGTTTCCCAAAAAACATCTGCTTGCTGTTTAATTCTTCAGTCCTCTGGCATAACTTGTTCCTTGAACCTGAGGCGGGAATTATTACAGTCCGCAGTCATGCACACAGTAGCTGCTCTCCTGACCAGACCCATGAGTAACAGCTCATGCAGCAGGACATGTCCAAAACAGCACAATGTGCTCTGGTTTACTGTTTCCGCCCACCTTGGAAATGTTATTTCACTTCATTTTTGAGATATTTAATATGAATATATATATTTTATTTCATGTCATGGAAATTAACTTATATA